AGCTATACAAGGCAGGGGAGGGGCACCCCTACATCATAACACTGCTATTCAAATGTGATATCACACACCTGTCGCATTTCCAGGAACACAACTACTTCCTGACTCTAATGATAGCGTTAGCCAAGACAAGATTACTTCTGGAATGATGTGGAAACACTGATACTTTTCATCTCTGTTTCTCCATAATTTCCATTTTCTTTCAATGAGTATGTGTTAGTTTTATAACTAGAAAAAAAATTGTTTTTTTCCAAAGAAAGTTATTTTCAGAGAAGACAACTCCTGGTTGGTGCTTAGGCAACTGCCATCGGATTTTATTAATATTTAAGTCATCAAGAGACCCTGAAATCTCACAATAGCCCCAGTGCTATTTTCTTATACAATCAAGGCTGTCTTGAATGACAGAGTAATCATGATTATATGGAACAAATTCAGGAAACAAATAAGTTATTTTAGGGCAACCATCACCACTTTTTCCTTTCTAGACAGCTGTTCCAGAGTTAATTAAAAATGACTTTTTATATTTTTTGTTTTTGTATTTTTGTTTTTCCTCTCTTTAGCTCAACCAGTCTTTTCTGAGCACCTGCTATTTTTAAGCACAGGTTAGGCACCAAGGAGACAGAAAGGGAAACAAAGTACAGTCCTTATGCTAAGAGTTTATTTCAGCCTTTCCCCCACATCTTAAGGTCTGCAATTTGTTTTCAAATATAAAGACCTCCTTCTACCCCAAAGGAAAGGAAAAGGTTAGATGAATGATTGGTAAAACATAAGGAAGTATTAAAGATAAAGTGCCTGTGGGTGTTTCTCTCTACATTTGTGTATGCTTGACATTTTAAACAATATTCATAATAATCTAACAAGGAAGAAAAGCTATAATAGAAGGTTAAATGGCACGAATGCTAAATGTCATTCTTGAAGAATCTCTGCAGAACCTCAAGTGTCACGCAACAAATATTGACCAAGCACTGGGGAGGAAGGACACGGACTTCATTCAGCACAGAGAACAGCAAATCAGCCTGCCGTCCTGACACTGGGTGTTGGAGTAGGCGTGGTGTGACCCCAGACACAGGGCCCTGGCTGCCTTGAGATTCCCCGGGACAGCAGGAATAGCAAGACTGGTATCTGCTACTCTTTTACTCTTGCAGTCTCAGGGAGTTGCACACACGTTTCCATACACATTATCCTCCCTTCCGTTAGCCTCCAGATTGCAGCTCCACGGAGGCTTCTGAGTAATCACTGTCCCGGCCCCGCTCTTGGACTTTGAGAGCGAGGTGAAATGCAAACACTGACAGCTACGTTCATGCAGAAGTCCTTCAGACTCCAAGACTGGGGTTCTCATGGCTGAAACTGAAAGCATCTGAGCAACACAACAATGACGGCGGTGTTTCGACCCCACGGAAGAAAGCGACTGTCCACGAGTCTATATTGATTTACATGATCGAATAAACAGGTGATTGAGAAATGGCAGCTTTTTCTCACAGGAAGCTTCTAATTCCTAATGAAAATGGGAAAAGAAATCACCACTAGGCAAACATCACGCTAATAATTGTGACAGACAAGATCCACCAATGGATACTAAAATTAATAGATGAAAATTTGAAGGTAAGTAGAATGTTTCTAGTACCAAAGTATCTACAAAATAACTACAAAAGAAACACAGTAGCTTTTTCTTTCTCTTTCTCTTCCTCTTCTCCTTCCCCTTCCTTTTCCCCTTCCCCTTCCTCTTCTCCTTCTCCATGTGTGGGGTGTGTGTGTGTGTGTGTGTGTGTGTGTGTGTGTGCATGTTAGTTACTGTGCACAGAATCCAGGGCCTTCACACTAAACTATATCCCCAGCTTTTTAAAAGAAAAATTTTATTCTGAGCCAGGGTTTCACAAAGACACTAAATTGCCCCGCTTGAGCTTGAATTTTTGAGCCTCTTGCCTCAGCCTTCCGGAGTGCTGGGATTACAGATGTGCACCACCACATCCAGCTGAAAGAGTAACTTCCTACGGAAGAAATCCAATAGTTATCAACTTAAGGAAGTAATCAAGGTTAAATCTACTAGTGATAAGATCTACTAACCTCATAAACCTCTAATATGCCACACCAAGGGAACAAAATCACTTCTGTGGTCTCTCTGTGCCAAAATGCATGGTTTCCTTACAAGCATGAGATGACATCAAACTCATTCCACGTAATAATGAATCGGTGCTCATCAGAAAGGTCAAATTGACACAGCCACACCACCCTGAACATGCCCAAGCTTTTCTGCCAAGAAAGTCAAACTGTGAAAGACAAGGAAACTCTCAGGATCTACTTCTGTTTGAAGAGACTAAGGAGAAACAAAATATATATGCAATCTGTGTGGTATTGGGAATCAAACCTAGGGCCTTTGCACTGAGCTACATCCCTAGCACTTTTTCTTTTTTCTTTTTTCTTGTTTGTTTGTTTGTCTGTTTGTTTTGACAGAGTCTCACTAAGTTTCTAAGTTACCCAGGCTGGACTCAAGCTTTCCATCCTCCTGCTTCAGCCTCCTGCAGTGCTGGACTACCAGAATGTACCCCCATGCCCAGATGCCGCAACATTTAAACAAGGCTAAAATTAGTTCAAAATAAAAAGTTTAAATAAAAATAAAGTCAGACTGAATATATCCCAAATCAACATAGAATAGTAAAATAATTTTTAAAGAGAATCATCTGGGGTTTTATTGCAGTTTGGGGTTTTTTTGTTTGGTTGGTTTTGTTTGTTTGTTTGTTTGTTTTGTATTTGTAGTGCCTGAAACTAACTTGACACATAGAAGGCAGGGTCTACCAGCAGGAGCTTACTTTCTGCAGATATCAGGGGATATCAGTGGCCCTAATATTTAAGAATCATTCTGAGATAATAGGGAAAAGATAGGGCTCCAAAGTCATAAACTGCTGAGTTCAAATGGATTTGCCAAGTGACCCAGTTTTTCTGTGTCTATTTGGCAATTTCCTTTAAAAGCACTTCCCAATGTGTAATTCCGAAAGTACCTTTAGCAAATGCACTGAGAAATGTATTAGAAGTATAGATTTCCTGGGTCCCACTCCAGAGCTAACAGGTGCAAAAAGCTGAGTCTGAGCCTCTGGAAAGTGAAATTTTAACAGGCACCCCAGGTGTATCTTGGATGCAGTGAAGTTTGAGAACAGCTGACATAGGAGAATCAGCCTAGAAAGCAATAGATCCTTCAGAGATGTTCATTTTCTTTCTGGCAAGGAAAAGCAGTAAGAAGATATGTGAGAATTAGTTCTTTAACTGCTTTTGAATAGCTTTTGCCTCCATCATTGTGGAAATAAGTAGATACAATATCCAAACTAATACCACTAAAATAATAAAAAATTGAAAAGAATCCAAACAGGAATCTAATTTAATTAATTATAGCGCATCCATATGACAGAACATATGCTTTCATTAATACTGTGTTTAAAAGAACTCCACTACATAGGAAAGTGCTTATGATGACTAAGTGGAAAAAAAAATATTCCAGAGCTGAAGATGCAGCTCAGGGGTACTTGCCTAGCATGCACAAGGCCCCAAGTTCACCACCCAGTACTGGAAAAAATGACAATACAGTTCCATTTATGAAATACATGTGAGCATGTATTTCAGATATAGAAGTTATAAAACTATCCCTAATCCCTTAATTTAGAGATGCTCATCATAATTAGGGATAGTTTTATAACTTCTAATTTTCCACGGGTTTTATGACCCAAACAATGCCATTTTCTGATGATAAAATGACCACATAGTCTTTCTTCAAAATATGTTGAAATTCAAAGGTAACACAATAGACAGGGACCATATTTTTAGTTACACAAAGGTGGCAGCCGTTCATTCACACAACCTTTGAGGAAACCTGTTGTAAACATGCCCTGAACTCCAAGAAAAGCCTAAGCATCCGTGGGTAAACTTCAGTGCGAGAGAACCCTGAGGTCTCTGCCTGAGATACCTATTCCTGGGCTCCATGCCCATAGGTTTTTATTTTGAAGGCCTGAGGCAGAGCCAAGAACTCTATACTTTTAAAAGGAATGCTCGTAACTCTGAGATGGGCAGTCAGGTTTGGGAACCCACTGTTTATTGACAGCTTGAAAAAAAAAAAAGACTAGAAAACCACAACCAACTTGCTTTGGCTGTTCCTACTCTGGATAAAAGAACTCGAAAGGCATGGTCAGTTCTCACACCATTTTTATGTATCTCTGGATAGCACCCACTTTATTGGCTCAGCTTAATGTAGATTCAAAATACTTGTATCAAGTGCCTTATAAAGTGTAACAACAAAGGCTGGTTTTATTGCCCTCCCTCCTCACTTCCCCTCGGGTTACACAGCCAAACAGCTCCTCGCAGTAATTCTCAGAAAGAGATGTTTTTACCCTGAATAAAGCCATTGATCGCTCTCAAAAATGCACAGGTCAAGAACGTGAGTTTTTGCCGTTTCAAGTGTCTAGGGCCCATAGAGGCCAAATCTGCTCTAAGACAAAAACTCCAAAATATGAATAAATAAACTGTGCAACCAAGCATCTTTCTCTTCCCCTCCACAGAGACCATGGAGCTTCCTACTGGTGCTGGGAAGAGTTCCCCACGCCAACACCTCCAACTGCACCTTCAATCCTCTGCTTTCCCATCTAAGATTCCTTCACTTCTTGCATCTTTCATATGTTCTTTTACTTTCTTTAAAAAATTGGCTAATTTTTAAAGAAAAAAAAAACACACTTCTCAACGCCTCCTCCTTCTCCATTCCATCACCAAAGGCCGGCCCGAGGTCAGCCTGTGCCCTTGCAGCCTCCAGTCTTGGTCCATGGACTCTCCGGACAGCACACGCTCACCCTCCCGGGACAGCTGCTCTCCCACGGCCACGAGGGCCTCTTCTCCTTCCCCATCTCCCTGGACCTTTCTTTTCCTCCTTCCCCCAGATCAGGAGCTAACAGTCCTTATCTTATGGAAGGCAACACGAAGAGATACGGAACAACAGACTCCCAAGAAAGACTCACAGCCAGACTTACCAGCAGATGTCCAAAGTCCGTTAAAACGCAAGTGATCCTTTTCTAGAAGGGTCAGATCTTGTCCTCCCCTGGCCCCGACTTGTCCTGCCCTGGACCTGACTTGTACTCCCCTGGCCCTGACGGAGAAAAGGGCTTTCACCAGCGATGCGCCCCCGAGGGAGAGAGATGCAGGCTGGGACCCCAGATGGCGATGCGAGCGAGCCCCAGGAGCTCCTCGGATCGTCCCCGGCCGGGCAGCATCTCACCGCCCTCCCTGCCCAACAGAGGCAGCGCCGCGATGGGGTGCCAGCAACTGACCGGGACACCCCAGCCAGGCTGGGCTTCTGCAGGTCCCCGCCCTCGCAAAGCAAGACGATCCCGAGCCCAGGCCGCACAGGCCCCGCTATCGCCAGGCTCCAGGCAGGAGACCCACCAAGTCCGGCGCCCAGCGCCCGAGTGCCGGCAACCGCGAATCCTGGACACCTGCAGACCCGAGGCCTCGCTTACTCACCCTGGAGACGGCCGCAGTTGGCACCTGAAG